AGTCGTATTGCAAATGCACTTGACTGCCTACTCACGTCTACCTACTTGAGTGGACTCCTCACTGTTAGAGGCGAGCCCCACAATCGGGAATTCCCTCTTGAGGGTAGAAAAACATGTTCCTCATTTTTCAGATCGTGAACTGGGCCACGGGAGAGATTATGGGCACCTGCCTGCCCAGGCATGCAGCGTGTGCCAGCCGCCCCAGCCAGCCCGGCTCCCAAGGGCAGACCTGCTGCGGCCCTGAACAGCCTTCCCAGCTGGGGAATGAGTCAGCTGGAAAAGCTCTGCTGTTTGTGCCCCCAAGATCAGCTAAACGGCAAGGCTGCACTGGTGGTACACTGGAAAGCAGATCTGCTAAGCCCTACTCTAACATAATTTTCCTAGTCTTCCTACCTTAAGAAGATAAGTCTAGCCAGAAGTTGTATAACTGGTGACTTGAGCTGTATCCAGACTTCTCTGCATGAAACCAGAAACTGAGGTATTGTTTTCCTGGGCAAGAACAGATTTTATCCTATTTTTCCTGTGTAAGCACAACTTTTCACAAAGTTTTGAGGATGTCTGACCTGGGCAAAGGGAGCTAGGTCACTGCCTTAAGTGCTGAAGGAGCACAGGGCCTTAAGTTCAAATTGACCTGTATCTGTGTCTCTGTATTTTTAAACACTACCTCCAGTTCCAAGCAAGGAAGTTGCGCAGCAATGGTAAGAGTCCCTTTGGTTGTAGTGGAAGAGATTTAGATTTGTAAAAAGAAGAGGACTTAAAAGGCATGTGAGATCCTTAACATTTGTTCAGCGGGGCCTCAAATTCCCCTCCGTTGCTCAGAGACTCAGAGACCATTCATCACTGTTTTCCAGTACAGCGGTAACCAAAGCACATCCAAAGCACATCTTCCCCTGTTAACTTCCCACATGATTTTTCTCCAGCACAGAAAGGAGATCAGAGCTGAAGGAGGCAAGAAAGAGGGTAAGAGGGAAGGGGAGAGCTGGAGGGTGCACACCGCTGTTAGCCCCATGGTGGGGGGGAGGCTTGGAGATATGCAGAGATGGGGAGGGCAAGCAGGGCTCATGACAGCAGGAGGGGGAGACCAGGAGGCAGACAGACTCCCAGAGGGGGAAATAAATAGGGGAGACTGCTAGGGGAGAAGGGAGGGATGCCAAGGTCCTTCCTGGAGTGGCCTGTTTTTCGGGGTCATGCTGCTTATTTACATCAATAAATTTCCCTCGAGCAAAGAACTCAGTGCTGCAGGGCCTCTAATGGCTATTACAGCCCCCCCGGTGGTTCCTGCTGCAGGTTTTCTCCATGTTCTTCTGCTGCTCAGTGGGGCAAACGTGAGCTGCCAGCTATTGGAGTGGCTTGGAAACAAGAGAGAATTTTGATCTTGGGCACAGCAAAGACAAAATTCACCTTCCTTTGCTTTTCCAAGCATGTGACATGTTAAAATGAGCTGGAAAGCCTGCGTGTTTCTTTTCCTGCCTTTGTCTCCAACCTCAGTGCATGCAGGACCGCCACCATATAAAGTGGAGAAGGGGGAGGCGAAGAAGAAAAGGTGATTTCCCCTTGTTCTGTTTGTGATTCCAGCTGTGCTTACTTCCCTTTCTGATGGGCTGAGGGAACTATGACTTATTTGTTCTGTCAAGAACACATTGTTCCTCTTCCTACTTCACCTGCTATTTGATTGCTACAGGGTAGTACTTGAAACATTAGTGGAACAAAAGGGATACCTCAAAGTAAGGGTAAAGAAATGCTTTCTTTCTGGCTGACAAGTGGTAGCTAGCTACCTGGAGTAATTTCTCTGCACCTCCCAGCTGTGTGAATCATGGTTATTTATCACAGAGGGAGACTTTGATCTTTCTCCATGTACTTATCAGTTAAATAACAGATAAATCTCTTGGACGGACTTCATGCTGATATAATTTTCCTTCCCTCAGCTCCTGCGGTCACGATTTTAAATTTCCAATGGAACCTTTGCTTTAATTGCCTGTGTTTTAGGAAAGCAAATGCTTTCCCTAGAGGGGACAGAAAGAGGGTTCCTTAGGGACAGACTCTGATCATGGATACGGAAGCTATTATCCCTGTGGCCAGGATATATCTGGGATCTGGTAATGAAAAATCATTGTTACATGCCAAAGGAGCAGCCCGCTCTGCTGTCCACAGAATTAGCCCCTCTCATACTCGGCAAAGCTGTTTATGATTAGGACTTTTTTAAGGCCAGCAATAACATACTTCATAACAATGAGGATATTTTTTCAGAACTATATTAATCCATTTTAAAAATAGCAAATTTGTTTCAAGACCCATGGTGCCTTGCCACATGCTTCCTGCTTTTTCCCCTCTTGCTTACTTTTCTGTTTCCTTTCACAGTGTTTTTCTTAAGCAGCAAAAACACTTTTGCTTAAATAAAAAAGCAAAATGAGGAAAAAATGAAAACACATCTCTGGCAATTTTTTTTCAGAGTTTAATGTACTGCAGCCACCTGGCAGTGCCCCATCCCAGTAGGAGCCAGAGGCCGGCAGCCGGCAGAGAGGGAGCACACACCAGCTGTTCTGTGCTGACTAGGTGAGCCAGTGCTGGCCCGGCACTTCTCTGGGGTAACATGGAGGATCACCATCTTCTCAGCAAGATACGGTTTAGTCAGAGTGCCCAAGTGCCACTCACATGCCCTTTTCAGCAACGATCCTACAAATCCTCCAAGCTATGAAATCTAAATCTCACTTCTTGGCTTCCTAGATCAAACACCTCACCTGGTCCGCTCTTTTAACTGCAGCCTTAGAGCAATGCTGGCATGGCTCTCCCTTGCAGTCATCCATCATAAGGGAGGAGTAATACATTTGACACAGGCTGGAATATCTTTTGGTGCCTGCCCTGTCTCGCCCAGGGGCGTAGACCCAGGCCAGGCCAGCTTCCTGCAGCCTCATTTCAAAATGTTCATGTGCTGAAGAGATGCACTCACGCCTGTTCCCCAAACCAGGGGTGCAGCCACGCACCCTGATTTCTGAGACACCCCCCTCTCCAAACCTCTGCAGGAGCAGAGGTAGCAGCCTACTTGCCAGTCCATCTCCCACTGGCTAGCTGGGGGGCAATGGAGGCAGAAAACGGGTGACTTGCAGTCTGGTTTTGCGTGCACCATGTTACTGTGTTCGACTGCTGGGTCTGATGAAAGGGCCCACTGCAAACCGGCTGGACCTGCTCAAGGGATTCCCAACCACAGAGACTTGGGAAGCAGCTGCTGTGCAATTTAAACACAGTGTCTGACTCTGAAGAGTTGCCAGCTGAGGAAGGAGTGAATTGGAAGAGCAGAAAAAAAGAGAAGTCACTGCAGAAGGGAGAGGTAAAAGGAAGAAACAGAGAGGAGGCCAACAGGAAACATTTTATTGCTCAGACAGGATAAGAAAATCAAAAAGGAAGGGATGAATGGGGCAGAAATGATTTAAACAAATCAGAAATGATTTAAGAAATGAATAGGCAAGTTTTAGAGCAAAGAAAAAAGTTCAAGGCAAGGCGACATCAGAATTTCCCAAGGTATATTTTCATACCAAGCAATGTATCTGGCAGGCGGCACTTCTGCTACACTTAGAGGGGATACAGAAAGCCAAGCCTGGCACAGACTCTTCAAACCCTGTCCCTGCTACCTGCATCATTCATAGCATGCCAGCTCTTTCAAAAGGAAGAGTGCCAGTATTAATATTTGTGTGAATGTGTTTGAAAGCATTAGTAAAGACTATACTGTTGACCGCTGTCCCTTTGGACAGTGATTTCCCCTGCTGAACTCAGTGAGCTTTGCAAAGAAGGTCCATGGCAGAAGCCTCATTTTTGTATGAGATTTGTTTGAGATGAAATGACTTGCTCACAGTTATCTGGGAAGGCAGTGCCAGAACTAAAACTAGAGCCTAGCTGTTCTGAGTCCCTGGTCTGTCCACATGGAAAATAAAAAAACCCAAAAGTTGCTGTGCATATATTCTTTAATCTCACAACTGCCTACAAATATCATTCAAGGTGCTCATTATCTGCAGTGCCAGAATCGTTATTTAAAAGGTTTATTCCAACATTCCCAGTTTTAGCCGAAAGAAACATTGCTACGTTTTGTCAATGCACCATGGACCAGACTCCTGAGTGGTTATGTTACCAATATCCAGTGAAACCTTTTTTAAGTTGACCTATACTGAATAGCATTCTCTAGTGACAGCTACCATTCCTTCCAAAACTAACATCCTCCGTCATCGGAAAAAAAAAAGCCCTAATCATTATTATTTAGTTTGAATATGTCATGAGGACTTCCCCTCTAGCTGCCCCAGGAAGCCTGCTGGCACCTGGTTGGGGATCTGAAGATTATTCACATTCCAGTGGAATCTGCTGGGAAAGTCCAGGACTCTCAGCGCTTTGAGCATAGCACATCTGAGGAGAAACGCGTGATTGCTGTAATCCGAGATGGGCCTCCTTTCTCAAGTGTCTGAGGATGCTGTCCAGTTGCAAATCAGCTCTCTGCAAGTTTGACTGACTGAGGTATATTAACAACAAAAACAAAGAAAGTATGCAGGGGCTGGCCAAGCACGTCTGGCTGAATTTGTGAGGTGATAATAGCCTGTAGCATGAAACCTTAGGTTTGCTGTTTGTTTGCCGTGTACTCAGCATTACTATCATTATTTCGCTGCCTATAGCTTAGATGCGTCACAGTCACAAATATCAAAGGGAAGGAAAGTGTTCTATGATTCTCTCCTGTGATGCTGTTAACAAAACATATTATCAAAGTGACGCTATTTTTTTACAAATATGGCCCCTGTAATGGAGCAGGACAAAGCTCAAAGGTGAGTGCCTTTAACCACAGGTCACTGCAGAATTGGATAATGCAAGGGAAGCTTCACCTGGTCTTCACTAGGGCCACAACTGGCCTTTTGGCAGCGTCTGTCCTACAGAAAATATTACTAGTTCTACTAACATGGTCTTAAACCAGGCTGGAGTTACACTAAAGGCCCACCATTCAGATGAAATGAGTAATACCAGTCAAGTCACCTTCAAAGCTGTCTCAGAAATTCTCTACAGTGTGGGCAAAATTTAATCTTAGTGCACCAAAAGTGAGAGCAAAAGATGGGAGCAGCCTGAGGCCAGGCTGCTCTTCTCATGTGAAGATGGGAAAGAATGGAAAAGCAAGAAGGCAGGATGAATATCATAGGGAGGGCTCTTGAGGACAGGGTTTTGCAGGTTAAGTGAGTGGGTTATAAGAAGAAAAGGGCTTGTTCTGGGAGAGGTAGTAGCTGCCATTCACATGTCAGCAGCAGCCAGACTTGGTTTCCACGGTGCTGATATGGGTGCACTGGCTGGGGCCAGGACCATCGTCATATCCAGCCTGCTCCTCTAGGCAATGATCCAGTGTTGTTCATATCACAGCCAGCTCTGGCCACCTTAAATCACCTCTACCTGGGCCTGGAAAAGAGATGTAATGATTTTTAAAAATCACTTTTCAAAGCGAGTCCAAAAGTGTCTCTGCTAAAGGTAGCCATTGAGGGCAACAGATGAGTGGGAGTGAACTAACCAGGTTTTCAAAAGGTTCAAGGTGAGGAAGACACCCACTGTTTCATTCCCACTGTTTTGCTAGTCCCGTTGAAAATGAAGGTCTGAGACTGTCACTGCTTGGATGTTGCACAAGGAGCAGCTGCCCTCAGTGCCTCCAGGCAGGATCAAAGCCATGCAGGTGGATGGGTGCCTGTTGTGAAGAGCCATCATATTACCACCCTCCCTGCTCCCACTGAAAGCCTACAGTCCCTGCTTATCCCAACACTGTAAAGCTGTAGTATCCCCTCAGGCTCCTCGCTCTAAGCTGATGGTCTTGCACAGACTACCTAACATAGAGGTGGGCTCAAATTTGGCCCTCAAACCCTGACCAGAGATCCAGAGAGGTGACACATGAGGAGCAACCAGTGGTGACTGCCTGCGTGGTTGCACTGTGGCTTTCACTAGCACCTGGCAGGCACACCAGATGGGCAGAATAGCTGCGTAGGCCCTTGATGCTCTTTCCTGCCTGTGAATGGTTGCTCGTTGCACTAATTTACCTTAACCCCACTTCTGCCAGCTGCCAGCACAGCCTGGGAAAGTTTGCGGAACCTCTTACTAAACACAACATCAGCTAGTTGACCAGATTTCAACTGTGAGAATGAATGGCCTATTAGAAACTGTCCTTTGTTCTTTTTTTTCTATTTGGATGCCATGCATAAGGAAACAGAAACAAGGGAAAATGCTAAGTTAGCAAACACAGTCTTCTACCCAAGTATTTTAATATGAGTGGCTAAACAACAGCCCAAAACAGCATCAAAATACAGCTGCTTGCTGGGGAAAGTGAGTTTGTTTGGAACCCAAGTGTGACAGTATAGCCTAGTATTCACTGCAGAAAAAGGAAAGATGCTTTTCTTCTTAATTTGCCAATAGTTTTTTTGTGGATAGTAGTTCCTTGCTAGGAAATATTATCATTTGAGCCTAGGCAATAGTTTGGTCAGAATGAGCTGGAGACTGCTCACATCCATCCTGGATTACTGAAATTGTTCATAACCGATATGAAGTGATCGCCTGCATCCTCTCTAGCGAGGGCTTCCTAGAGTATCTCTCAGCACTTCCAGGATCTGTACCTATTCTCAGTCTATTTCTGAAGTAAGTTTAAAGCCTTGGTCTTAACATCCAAACTCTTCTGTCAATTGCTGAATTCAGACCCAGGAGTGGTGGAGATGTACTCTTATTTCAAGGAGATCAATGGCTGCAGTTATACAGCAAGTTCCTGGATGAGAGCAGGGAAAGCCCAGAGTCCCTTCACGAACTCTCCAAAGCCTTCCCCCCTCACTAAGCCTTCCCCCCATTGCAAGAGCTTGCAAGGCCATTGAAGGCCTTTCAGTCTGCCTCCCACCCCAAAATCAGTACAGTTTCCCCTCAGAAGCCTACAAATCACCCCTCCCAAACTTGTTAGAGGAGGTAAATAGACAAATCCTTCTCTGTGCTGAATTGTTTTCTCCCCAGGCAAGAGAAGAGCCAGAGCGCCTATCAGTATGCTGGGGATTTTACTGTTGCTAGCTGCTTTTACCCAGAAAGCCCCAAACTAATATACGTGTCATGGGTACAGTATAAAATACAAAAGCAGTGTTAGGGTTTGAGTGCAGGAGAAGGACAAGGAGCAGGCATTTCAGTTGAACAGGTACAGCTCTAACCGGCTGCAGACGCTTGCAAACTGCTCTGAGATCTCTGGACGAAAGGGCTGTGTAAAATAAAAAGTAGGGTTTTTTTTTTTTCCTAAATGCAGACATGCTCTCACTGATTGCAAACCAGCTGCCTCCCATGCTGCTGAAGAGGAGGTGGGGGAGGAGATGCTGTTAGTCCCCCCGCTGCCTCGGCAGGCATGGAGAAAAGGCTAACCGTGTCTCCTGGGTCAGTGCATATTGGTCAGATGTCATCTGAGCAGCGCTGAGCAATGCCGCGACTGCTGGATAGTCGCTATACGGCATCTGGGGAAGTCACATCGTGGAACCAGGGTACTGACCAGCTGCATTGCCCCAGGATGACAAACACTCGCTGCTCCCACTTCCCTCGCACCCCTCCTGAGAGCTGGCAGTGCAGGGGGGGATCTGGAGATCCCCTTTGGAGAGGTTCCTGGATCATAAGGACCATATGACTGGGTTGTTACAAATGACCTGTGTTCATTTTGGTAACTTGCTTAATGTGCAAAAGGGAATGGGGCAAAACAAACACAAGAAGTTTTGTGTTATCAAATACAAATGTCTAAGCAAAGGTGTTTGCACAAATGTCAGAGAAACCACTGACTATAGCATTAAAACATATACACACCCACTCTGGAAAAGAGATGTCTTTCTGTGGTAATACACTGTGACAGAGTGTAATCCCAAAGGATGCAGGGAAAAAGGGAGAAAAGGGCTTGGGTTTTTTTATCCCCAGTCCACTATCATTGGATTTTTTGGAGAACAGTTAACTTCCTCTCTATTTGCAGATCAAGATTAATGCGTGTGTGTGTGTGTGTGTGTGTGTGTGTGTGTGTGTGTGCGCGTGCGCACGCACGCGCTGTCTATCCCCAACACTGACCTTTTAACATGTATTTTGGCTATGCAGAACTGAGGAGGAGGCATTAAAACCGGAGTCCATTTTCCATCATGCAAAGGTGGATCGCTTTCAAGGGTCATAGTTCTGTGACTCACACACCCAGCTGCAGCGGAGACATCACCACCTTCCTCCTTCTGTCTCTCCCCATGCACAGATGTCTGCACCACTCCTCTGCTGGCTTAAGCTAACATGCCAGGCAGTAAAAGCTAATAAACCAGCTGTGAAGTGGGGCAACAGGGGAGCAAATACACTCAGTCCTGCATGCCTAGTAGAGACTAGCTCTATGGTATTTGCTTTTCAGAGTCCAAAGGAATCTGAGTAGCTGCACTTTGGCTATCTAAATTCACTCTGCTCTTTCCTAGAAGAGTAATAATTTTCTTCCTTTCTCTTTTTAACCATCAGAGTGAAAGGTTATAGCCTCAGGAGTGGTTCTTATCTCCCACTGTCATGGTGGTAGCCCTGTGGCCATTGATGATATCATTTCATGGCATATTTGGAATTTCATCCTCCATTATTACACTCACCAGAAGTTTTGTCACTGATTTCATTTGGCACAGGCTTAGATCAATGAGTAACAGCACTCGGCTAAATTCACGTACCAAGAGTGAAGATCACTAGCCTGAATGCAGGATTGCAGGACTGAACCTGCTTGGAGTTTCAGAGGTTTCAGGACACAGCAATAGCTATTTGTTTATATTATGTAGCTCCAAGTCAGTTACATAAAATGGCCTTGACATAATGTTTTCATACAACACACTGCTGTATAGGACAGCAAAGATTATGATTTTTTTAATGATAGAATCAGATCTGGAAGGCATATAAGAAGGACTCCTTATTTCTTAAAGAATGAGCCTGAAAGTGATAAAGAACGAGCTGGAAAGCAAGATCCTGGACAACTCAGGGAGAGTCTCTCCTGGTGCTGCTGGGCAGCATTAGAAAATCCACATCAGATTTGGGAATTTGCTGTGAGCCCACTGGGAACAGATGTGCTTTCATCCTTCTTGAGTAAATCACTGACTCTTTCTCTAAAGGCCTTTGGTTTATTTGGGCTATAAAGTAGTGACTTTGGAGGGAAAAAAGGCATCTTGGACTTCCCCTTTGATATTTCTATTCGGTTTGCCAATAAGCGGTGGAAGTTTGACACTTCCTTTTATGTCTACAATAGAGCACAAAAGTACATGGTAAAATCCTGTTTCTAATGTGAACAATTCACACAAGAGTAATAGCAAAAATTTGAGGGTGATTTCTCCTAGAGATATTCCAAGACAAAACAGTGTATTTCCCACTAGTTTAACCTCACATTAGACTCATAGTGAACCACCAGGGACACTCTGTGTTTCATATGTCACACTTATGAAAAGGATCAGAGGATAAAATAAGTTCTTATGAATTAGTAGAGGCCTTCTGCTGTAATGAACAGTGTTCTGAACATGTTTGAAAGTAAGAAGGAGCTATATGGTATGTTTCTTTAAAGAGTCTCACACCTAGAAAATTCCTAGAATTCTTCATAATTGTTAGGAAAGGTAAGATTTTTAAGGAAGATTAATATATTTTTATTAGACGAAATATTGGAGAAAACAAACACACTTTCAAATCCATAAGCCCTTCCTCAGACCTATGACGGCCAGTTCTTTGATATAGCTATGCAGACCTCCTGTTTTTCACGAAAGCACACACAATAATTTTATTGTAATTCAGTTTATTGGTCCTGTAATGAAGAACGAAGCAGTTTCTGTTAAGTTTCTGACTAGCACTTCCATGCAGTCACAAATTCCATAACCTTCAAATTGGGCCATTAAAACAGCTCGCAAATTCTGTATTTTCTTATATGAACCAGATCAAGATATTGAGTGTTTTCATTTGTTCTCTTTATAGAAAAAAACATTTTAAAGAAACTTAAAAGAAAGCTCTTTTCTTCTTTGCACCATAATCTCTCCCAAAAATGAAGAAAAAAGTGTTCATCCTCTATCTTTGTGCTACTGTCGTTGTTTCAGCTGAGGTAATAGATCTGTAGTAGCATTTAGATACTGAGTGCTTTTAGCCAGCTTTACAAGAAAACAAAGACATAACCTCTGCTTCAGCACTTCCTTCAGAGATGGTCAGGTTTTTTTCACATTGTTGAAATTTTGTAATAAATTTCACCATACACAGGGGGGAAAGGCAATTGCTTGTCTACTGAATTTCCCCTGTACCAAATTTAGAGGAACAATACACACAAAGTTTTGAGGAGTTGTCAGGAACCACTTTCTCATGTAAAGAATCTTTTATAAACATGTTCTAGTTATAAATCCGTCATGCCTGCATAAACGTAACGTTTATTTACTTGTGCACTTTATAGCACTGAAAGATTCTCCTTATGTAAGTCTTAAAATCTCCTGTCAGCTCCTGCCTTGCAGAAAAAGTAATTTCACGAAGGAATATGTTTACCTGGTTTGCGTATATGTGCATCTCTGTGTGTTTGCATGTCTAAGGTTCACATGAAAAAATACATAAAATCATTTTTGACTCAGAGCTGCCTTATACACAAGCCACATACATAATCACTAGTGTATTGACTAAATCACAAGCCAAGTCTCCTATCGAAACACAACTTACTTTTTTGGAGCCATCAGAATGTGGTGTTTTTCAAGGAAGGGAATGATCCTAAGAATTTCCCAAGGAACGCTGAGAGGAAATTGAGGACGTTATCATGACAACCATCAGATTTCTGACCTTATCCTTAGTTCTGAGCTATGATTAGATGTCATTTACTTTCTGACTCCTTTGCTCACCACTAGAGAAGAAAAAAGCTTTCCATGTTACTCATTAACAAAAGAAAACGTATTTTTGAGTCACTTTTGGACAAGAATCGTGTTTGTTCACTCAATTTTGAACCTTGTGCTTTCCATGAAAGTTTGAGAAAATGTTTAACAGGCCTGGAAATCTTCTCAGAAGAAGGCAAAATACTATTACAATGTGTCTCAGAAATCCTGGAATTACCCAGCTTTCCCAGTGGCTGTGCAGTATTGTCGATGGACTGCAGGGGATTTCAAGTGTGACCAACTGGGACAACACTGGCATTAAAGCATTTGTTTCAAAAGCAGGATTCTCCCTTTGAAGACCAGCAGGGACAACATATGATCTCTTGGTACTCCTTCACATTAATGGTTTTGTTTATGCCCTAAATAATCATACTAAATACGAATGAGGAATGATATTGTCATGTACTTCCACCTTCCATGGGTCTTTCATACTGTTTCTCCCTTTCCTGTGTGTCAATGGAGAGCGTTTGTGTGTCTTGATCTGGGGAAAGCGGCAGCTGAGAGAGATATGCAGCACTGGGCAACCTAGCATTAACCTGAGCTTGTTCATGGAAGCTGGCTTAGGAAATATAGTAATCAGGCCCAACTCCTGACTTGGCCATCTAGATTTGTGAGTACACAGGCAACTATGAGTCGGGGGAAAACCAAGTTTTCAGTGTGTTGCTACACTAAGCTAGCAGTTAATAGGTATAGGATAGCCTTCCCCCAGTGCACCAAAAGTTATGGGCTGTCTTGAGAGCTGTGGTTATTGTTTACTAATATCACAGGTTCAATCTGACAGTGAAATCATATAGCGTGTTAATAAAAGGCTACAGAAGTCTATAACCAAAATCTCAGTAGCTGTGCAAAATCATTTTCCTAGATCTTTAAAAGTTACGAATTGCAACATCTGTGTTCCTGCAACCGTGGAGTTTACTAAAATAGGTACTCAGGCCTGTTTTGTAGATGAAATGTTATGATTTTTCAAAATAGGAGAATGGATAGATCAGCATTTAATGTCTACTATTTAAAAAAACACTCTTTTTTTTCATTTTTCTGAAGACACTTGTGGAGATCAAGTTAAGCGGAGATTAAAACTCCACGCTGATGAGCTGAAGTAGTGCGTTTTCCGGGAAGGCTACACAGTCATTCAGCTCGGATACCAGCAGTACCTTCTGACATGACTACAAATTGCCAGAAAGAGTCATTACATGACTTTGTTTCAGCAAAGCTATTCATCAGGCATCAGTGTCAGATGACTGGCCATAAACAAAGTGGGCAGTGTGTGTTGGGAGCGAAGTGCGTTGTAGACCCCATAGGTGCCCTAGAAGTCTGCTGAAGGACTGTGCAAGCTGTGGAGGCTTAGGAAAGCTACCAATGTGCTGGTAAGGACATCCAGAAAGAGAACAACCCACCACCACCGCCACCAAAAGAAGAAGAAGAAGAAATATGCGAACACTAATGAAAATGTTCGCAAACGCGCAAGGAAAATGGACCTACTAAAAGGAAAGCTAATAAAATGATCTTCGGCTCAGAGGGCATGGACCAAAACTTGGCATTTCCAGTTTGTCAGCAAAAGAGGGTTAACTGTAATGCTTTTACAATGCCATTACAGCTGTACTCTGTTTTAATGAGCAGGATGGGACCCATCCTTGTTTCCTTCCACATGTCTCCTGTGTGCTGATACCTGCAGGTAACCTGTCTCTGCCTGCTTGTCTCCAGGCCAGGCAGCTGGGGACCTCCTGAGGTTGGGGACAGCAAGGGGCACTGCAGGGACGAAGCCAGCGCAGCGGCTCCTTGCTTTCAGCGTATGCGATTGAAGGACATCCACAGTCATTTTGCTCCAGTGCCAGCACTGAAGGCACAATGTGGCCAGCAGCAGGTGCTGAGGACACCCATGGGCAGGGCGTCCCTACACAGTCCCTACCTCTTCCTGCGCCAGGTGGGGTTTCCTTGCGCTTAGAAACCCCTTTTCTCTCCATGAGCTCCACAAGGCTCAGGGCCAGCTTTCACTGAGGCAAGCGAAGAGCAGCTGAAGCATTTGCACCACAGCCCTCACCTGAGTGTGCATACCCATGCGAAAACTCATTATATTTTGAGGAGCTGGGATCATTTTTCATCAGTGCCTGGAGGTATCCATGTAATTTTAGAAAATATATAGGATCCCGTGACTCAACTGACCTGATTTTGATTTGTGAATTGGGATTTTTTTTTGCCTTGTCAGAACTCTTCAGAGGTTACAATGCCCAAATTAGGAAGAGAAGGCAAAAGGGATAGTGTGTTCCAGTGCTCCTTTTTTTTTTTTCTGGCTATTAATTAGCAGAAGTGAAAAACAGGATTTAAAGGAAGTTAGTGACAATTTTTTCAGTGGAATACTAGTTTCACAGAAAAAAAATTCTCAATAATTCTCAATAAGATTTGGAGGGAAGTTATAAGGTTTGATGAAGAAGTTTTGACTGCATTTAGTATTTTTCTTTAAAAAAATATAAATTTTTTCATTTCAAACAATTATTTTGAAATGGAAGCTCTTATGAAAACTAAAAATATAAAACTCAAGCAGTCTTTTCTTTTCCAGTGGGCAAAACTTTCCAATTTAGACTTTTCATCTTTGTCCTGAAGAAGAAAAGTTTTAAATTTCCTGATGATGTTAATGAGATGGGAAAAATGTGTTTTACTCCCCCGAATACCTGCGCATACCATACATGCTGTACCATTCTGGTGCTTTGCAGCAGCAATTTACTATACCTCTCTGATTTCATTTTACTTAATTTCCCACTACCTCAAAGGACAGAAATCCATAGGCCAAATTTGAGCTTGCTGAAATTCTGAATTCTGTAATTGCTGAATTTGGTTGATTATGATTAGAAAGCATGCTTAGCTGGCAAGAAAATTAGCTGAGCGTATGTGCATAATTTTAACCATGCTTTTAATGCTATCCCTTTTCAACAAACCACTTAGACACATGCTTAACAGCCCATGTGCTTGAAGTTAATTAAATGCCTAATTGCTTTTCTGAATGTGGGCCTGAATAGGGATGGACTAAAGCATGTACTTCAGTTCTTGGTTAAATTGGGTCCTAAAAAGCAACTGTTTTTCTAACCCTTCACCTCCCCTTCATCCTTTCTCAATTTATTTAGTTCCTATGAAAGCCAAATCATCCCCATGTTGGCAGAACAAAAATCCAACCAAAACAAGTTGTGGCCTCCTCATGCTAGCTCTAAATATACTTATAAATAGCTGTAATTAAATCCAGAAATCTAGCAGTGTGGCGTTAATTAGCTCAATGGAGAACTAAGAGAGAAAGGTGGTTTCTGAGATATTAAAAATCTATGCCCTGGAATACAAGACATGCCAACAAAAATCCAGCTCAGAAGGAAACTAGAAAAGTATTAAAGCTCATCGAGATTCTTTTTTTTTTTTTGGTAGAAAAATAGGTAGAAAATTCTGATTTCTTGGTCCGAGGCTGGACAGGGAGTCAGAGGAAGCGGGAGCAGGACCTGCCGCCTGAGGTGGGCACTCCCTGTGGGTGTGGGAGGCCTTGGCTCTGAGTCAGTGATGCTAGCTTTTTTTTTGTCCTTATGCCAGATGAAAAATATCTTGGCCAAACAATGCAGAGCAGCAATCCACCGTGGGTTCACGTTATTTAAAACATCTGCGCAGTTACCTTTGTCCCACAGGTTTTGTGCCAGGTGAGGCACAGCATAAACCTCGTGCTAGGTGCGCTCCTGCTGCAGCAGTGCGGCACGCGCGGGTGGGTGCACCTGAAAGGGGGTGGTGTGCCCACACCTGGGCTGCTGTGGCTCATTAGGGCATGGGTCCAGGCTAAGGATCACGGAGACATGGGTTGCGGGGCCTGGGCTCGAGCCCTGCTTTTGCTGAGCGCAGCAATGTGCTCTAGATGACCCTGCCTGAGCAAGGGGGTTGGACTAGGTGATCCCCAGAGGTCCCTTCCAATCTTGGCCATTCTGTGAGGGGAAACCACCCATAGTCTAGTGATAAGAAAATCCCTTCAGGCTGGGAAGAGCTGCTCTGGGCTGGCAGGCCTTGACCATGGGCCATGTGCAGCCCAGGTGACGGCCCTCCTGACCTCTTCTTCCTTACCAACCCACAGGGGAAGGGGAAGACGGAGCAGGAAAGAATCATTTGCTTGTGATATCTCACCAAAAAAAAAAAAAAAAGAAAAAGAAAGAAAAAGAAAAAGGACTCCCACAAACCCTCTACACTATCTCCCATTTTTCCCCAATTAAAAAAAAAACATACATACACACGAATTGCCATAGCTCTATTTGTCATACAGCAGAATTCCTATTTACCAGCCAGTCCTAAGCTTTGTTTTTTTTTTCCTTCATAGTTCCTTAGTGCCAGTTTATTTCTGGACTACAGAAACACTCTTATTAAATGAGTGATTTAGCCATACAGAGGTGATAAGAGTAGAGAAACCGGTCACCTATTGCCTTTTCTCACCGAGGCTGGCGATGCAGTAGAAAACGAGTGCTTTAGAGCACTTAATTTGTTACAAGTCCAATTATTGCTTGCTGGAATGGCACTTGCCTGGCAGAAGCTGCTTCAGTGTCTGACCTAGCTGAGGTATTGCAACGAGAAGTGCTGCCATGCTGTGTTACGCTTCAGTATTGCAGTCCTCTAAAGCAGATTTGTTACGTCACGTTGCGAGAAAGGCATTAAGGCAGACAGCGTATGTTGATCATGGGCCACACATGCACAGGATATTATGAAAAAGGCAATTAATTAGCATTCGATCCTATCATTTCTGCAGGGAGCGTATGACTTGTGTTCACATACAAATACTGTGATATCAACCTATCCACCTTTTTAATATCAAAAACTTGATAATTAACAATTACAGGTGAGATCCCTTCAGCTAATTCGAGCATCCAAAAATACCTTCTCTAAGGTAGTTGCCGAAAGTCTTTTGTAGCCAACAGAAAAAGATACTGCTATTCATCCTGTTG